TTTYCCCCGAGTCCTTGAGCAWGTMAAAATGAGGCCAGGATTGGACAACTAGAATGTATGATGGTATGAATAAATGTCGTCAGTCATACTATGTACAGTATTTAATACACCTTTCTTGCTGTAGCAAATATCACGCTAAATGCTACTTCTTCTTCCCAATCAGTTTGTCCCAAATGGTTCTTTTTTCTTTGACTTGTTTTTGAAAATCTGAGAAATTACAGTAACACAATACTCAATTAAACCTGCTTTTTGATTGCTTTAAAGTGCTGCATTTCTATTGTTAGGTTAGGTTAGGTTAGGTTAGGTTTTATTGTTTGGAAGACCTATTGTTTCATTGTTTTCTCAACCCATCAAGAAATTCATTCTGATTGACCGTGCAGATGGTCCCAAAAAATAAAAAAGTTGCATTATCTTCACAAATGATTTTAGCAGGTAGTGCTACATGGTAAAAGCTTGACCATGATTCAAGCATACAGCAAATTAATTCTTATGACAGATTTAATGGCATTTGATTTGGCATGATTAGTTCCATGAATATGATTACATAAGAATCAAAATGGCTTACTTGTTGATAAAACTGCTCCAGCCTCTGTTGCAACATCAGTGGAAAATGCAGTATTTTTCTCTCGAGGATACTACATGTAAATAAAATTAATTGTCTAATAAGCTGAACAGTTAGAGTGATAACACTTAAACCGTGCAACTGTACAAAATCTAAGTAATTACAGTGGACCTGAAGCAAGACGGTATTGAATACATCATTTGTATCCATTCAATTTAATCTGTGTACTGCATGCACGATTTACTAAATACAACTAAATAGAATTTAGTTGCACGGTTTATGTGCGATCACTTTTAAGAAATTGGTTAAAATATTTTCAAACAATATAGTAGTTGAATCGAGGGGATTATGCTATTATAGTTGCCTGCAGAAACTGGAAAAAAACAAATTTGCCCCCGAGAACGCAGTTGGCATTATCAATCAGTCCATGTTGAACTCCCCCCAGATGGATAGTTTTGCATACAGTTACACAAAGGGATGGATACAGTGGCTTTTTTAAGCTCTGGTGCAAAGCTTTTTTTAAAATATACCTTTTCTCTGTAGTAATTTGAAGATATCTTCACTAAACTGTCAAGCATCTTTTCAGCTTGTTCGTTCTGGAGGCGAACAAGTGATATGGTTAAGGAACAAANNACCATGTCATCGTTGTCACAAGATTGTTTTACTTCAAAACTCAAGGAAAATATAAAGAATCTGATGTTGTGCAGTTCATGGTATTGACCTAATTAACAGTTAAACAAAAATTGTAGAGTACAAGCACTAAAAGTGTGCAGCACTTTGCACTATTTACTACAAAATAGTGCTGATTAAACATAGAAAACAATAGAATTAGCATAATTTAGCAGTATTTAGTCATGGTATTTATGTTGCACAGTTTTAGTGTTTGCACTCTATGATATTAAACTAATAATTATTGTTTGGGAATCCAACATGTATACATGTATGTCAGGCCGGTGACCATAGCAGATAGTTGAAAACTGCAAAAAATACTATTAGCCACCCAGAGAAAAGCATCTAAGATGATTCACAAACACCAATGATTTTTAAAAATAAGAATTTGGTGATTAAGCTGAGGTTGGAAATTACAAGAATATTCTTGCAATATTAAGCATAGTTTTCATTGTATTACAGATCCCACAGAAATTTGCAGCATTTGAAGATCTCTATCACAAGCTGAATCAGAAGTTTTCTAGTGTTGTTTTCAGTCCTCTTCCAAAAAAGGTTCTTTTGACAAATGAATCTGTTATCAATGAACGTCAGCAAGTCATGGAGTCAGTGCTACAACAGGTTAGTCAATATCCTTTCATTCAGTCAATTCTGTTCTATTATTCCATTCATCCTGTGTCCATTTCGTCCATCTGCCCATTCATCCAAGCTCCATTCCATTACTGGCCATCTCGAGCCGTTGCCATCTCGCCCCCCAATATGTCATCTTGCCACACCATCTTGCCCCCTACTAATATCACTTTCTAAGTCATTTCACCCCCTATGAAGTCTTGAAGATAAACTTTAACTGTTAAAATTCACGTAACGAGAATTTCGGCTGTCAATTGTGTCTAAATTTCGACGTGACTCGGACTTGAGCATCACAATATTATGTGTGACTACAGCCAACGATAATCTAGTTCAACTTATACACAGTTCCTCACATTAAATTTCACTTAAAATAGCTAATAGGCATTTAACATTCAATGTTGAAGCAGTTTCAGAAGTGTTCCGATATATCAGTGAAAGAATCTGACTGGTACTTAAGGTGGAATTCATTTTTGTTAGGTTGCCAAGACACCTAAGCTTGCATGCAGCTCTATTACATTAGAGTTTCTTGGAGTGCACACACAAAAAGAGGGCACACCACTAGATGAACGAGATTCTCATGAAGATCAAGCTAAGGTTTGTTTATCTTTAAATAAATCTGTTTTATGGAAAAATCATTCACGGCTCATCATAATTGTTTCATCAGCAGCAAAAGGAGAAGACTGCTGACCCTAGTAGTAAAGACGAGCCTGCTGATATCGACTTATTTGGCGCAGACCAACAGGAGCAAACAGAACAAGCAGATGACAACGATGTCAAAGTTGATGAAGATGATGATCTTCTATTGTTTACCAAATCTGCCAAACCATTGTTGCAGGAATCATCCATATTCAAAGTTGATGACAAAGAAGATGATATTAATGATTTGTTTATTCCAGCTGGAGCTTTAGAATCAAACCCCGTTAAAATTGAGGTTGAAGATAACTCTGAATTACTAAAGTAAGTAAAGAAGAGGAAATGATATAAATGAAGAGGGAACAAGGTTGAATATTGACTATTCAATTCCAGTACCGGTTAGCTTTATTCATAGGATATAAAACAATAGGATTAAACAATCAATTTATACTTAGATCCAAGTACTGGAATTATAAATATAGTCAATAAAAAATGAAAGAGTGTTTTGGGGGATTAATAAGCCCTACCTTGAGGCTATAACATTGTTTAAAGGAGGGACATAGAAGAAAGAGCTTTTGGGAGTTTTTGGAGATGAACAAGCCTCCTTTCCTTACATTACTGTAGGAAAATAATATTCTCTAATCCATTTTGTACTTTCAAATTCCCAAGCAGTCAACTTTAGAAAGTTGTCCTTTTGAATATAATTGACATCTTGTTTTTAATGTTCTCAGTATTGATGATGATCTTGATAAACTACTGAACGTCAGTAAACCCAAGAAACCTCCTAAACCTTCCCAACCAAAGCCCCCTATACCCAAGCCACGTATGAAGCCAAAACCACAACTCAAACCAAAACCTGCACCAAAACCACGGTTCCAAGAGGCACAAGGCAGTGCTAATGATGAGCTGTTTGCAATGTCAAACAAGAAGAGTGAGCCAAACACAAATGAGGATCTTTTTGCTCCCAGGAAAAGTTCATTTAGGTAAATGTTTTTGTATGTGTGATTTCCTGTATATGCAGTCAGTCTGTCTTGAGTGACAATCTTTTTTCCTGTCATAGAAAACAAGAGGATGACAGTACACTAGATGATATTTTCAAAAAACCTGACAAAAAGGTTTTTCCAGATGATGAAGATGATGCGTTATTCAAGACGTCATCGGATATGAATGTAGATGACATTTCTAGCTACATTCAACAGAGTTTAAAGGACAACAATGATAGCTTAGATTTATTTTAGATGTTAATCAAAATCCACTTTTTCATGCTGAGAAATACAAATTTTCATTTTTCATTGCAAACCTTTGGTTTTATTGGAAGTGGCCTGTGTTAATATTATAATACTTAACGCTTAGATATTAATGCAATGAGGCAAAGAACTTGTATTAGTGTATGGTCATCATGGAAGAAGAAACCAAATTCAATGCCACATGAAATGGTGAACTAAATCCAAAGAAATTAAAACTCAACCAACGTTTTTGCAAATATTATTAATAATAAAGAGATTGTATATCTATTTTAATTAATAGATAAGGAGAATAATTTAGAATTAGGTCGTTTTTAATAAATTGACTACATCTTAACGAACAAAATGCATCTTTCTAGTTACATATAGAGTGCAGTGTACATTTAGCCCCTCCCCCCAAGGTCAAATTTGTCGGGTCAAAACGGGCTGTCGGTAGCGGACAGATAATTAATCCATGGTTTCCGCTTAATTATCTTATAGCGGGCAACATTTATGGAACGGATCATACCTTTCCCGTTGGAAAACTTTGTCCACAGCACAACCAGTATAAACCAGGCTTGAGTAGCGCTTGAGTATAAACGAGGTCGCAAATGAGTCCCTTTTAATTTTTGACAAGATATCTCGCAATCTGATTGGCTGTTAAGCGTAGTTATGTCATGCGTCGAGAAACTCTACGTTTTTACTTTACACACAACGACGCCCAGTCGAGAGTTTTTTCGAGCAAATCTTCCAACAAAAAAACAAGTTTTAAGGATTCAATATGAATGGAAGTCACGTCTCTGAAAGAACTGTAAGTAGAACTTTGAGTTTGAAGTTTTAAATGCAGTTAAAATGAGTTAAGTGTACTTGATTTTTCGGGAATCGTTTCTTGGCGCCTTTTCAGAGAAGATTAAAACTTTCAAAAGCTAAAACATCTTCGTTGTAGCGTAAGTGACTCAGTGTTTTATAATAAACTTTCAGTTAAAACTGTTTTCTTGTCGTCGTTTTGCATTGCTTGCACTACCTGACATGAATTGAGAAACCAAAGGACTAAAATTTAAGCTTAAATATTAGTTAAGACTTAAGCTTATAAGCTTATCTGAGTTTGAAAAACGTAAGCTTAAGCTTACATTTCAACTTAAACTTTTTCATTTTTCCTGATAAGCTTATCCATGTTATTACTCTGCAAATCATACAGAAATGTTTTGTTCACCGGTTCTTCGGAAGTAGCTAAAAGCGTAAGTAGATAGGGTCGGACATTGATGTCAAGTTTATAAACAGAAGCGTACCCTGCGAGCAGAGGAATTTTCCACCCCCTTCTACGGAAAAATTCCTCTGCTCGCAGGGTAACAGAAGCGAGGAAGATTGCTCAAAAAACTTGATCATTTTGTTGTAAAAAATGCAGATGAGTTTGAAACTGAGTTTTACAACTACTCCTTTTGGAGCTATGAAGGTTGAAAAATAAGTTTGTATTAGAAGAGTTTATCGAGAAAAAATTATTCATATTTAAACAAGTTTTTCTTTGTAATCAAAACTTAAGTTAAGATTATTTTAAACAAATCACTTGTGCAGAATCTGTTCTGATATTGCTTTTTAAAACGTTTGCTTTACAAAAATCTCTCACTTGAAGTATGAAAGAAAAAAAGTACTCATTAGACTAGTAGAAATGTAACGAAAGCTATAGATATCAGATACCAGGCAAACACAATATTCTACTTACCGTGTAATTCGACTGGGACTAATCCCTTGTCCCTAAAAAAATAAATTGGTTTGCCTGTTAACAAAGTGAAAGTTGTACACTGGGAACCAATTTCCCTTTTAAGGTCATTTTTCCTTAAAAGGTCATTTTCCTATAAGGTCATTTCCCCTTATAAGGTTCAATTAGAACGTCTCGCGCGCAGCTAACAAAACACGTAACAATGTTTATTCCTTCACTTTGCTAATTGCAGTCCTTAGTGACGGGTTAGCAATCACCGCTTAGCTATTAGTAGCGTTTTACAGCGATTTTTAACCACAACTTATTGAAAACTTTGCGACAAAATGTCAACTAACATCATCTTGAGCGAGAACGCGCCGAAAAGCCAGTCGAATGACGGCGAAATCTCTGGAGGACAAAAGTCTCCCACAAATTCACTGGGAACAGCTATCAGTGAATCATCTGGTGAAGAAGTGGAAATCTTCATCACTGAAGACGTTTCGTCCTCTAACGTCAAACGTGCGCCAAAAACCGCTTCGAGAATCCCAAAGCCACGACGTAACGGAATCCGCCGCAGTTCCGCAAGTCAAACGTCGAGTGATAGCGATGGCTCAGACGCGGAGAGGAAGGTTCGCCGCAAGTCCCAAATTCCGATTCGGAAAAGAAAGCCACGTACCAGAAAACACAAGGACGGTCACAACTCAAGCAGCGATGAGAAATCCTCAACATCCTCCGCCGACGACCGTTCCTCAAGCGACAGCGATGACAACGCCGGAAAGCAGCGTAACATACCAGCTATGCCTACCAGCAGAAAGGCGAAGATCCACGGCGCCGCTGTAGTTGAGAAAGACTCCTCCAGCGATGATGACAACTCAAGCTCTGCCGCCCGCAAAACCTCCGAAGACAAAGCTGGACTCAAAACACCCGAAAAGCCAGCCAGTGAGAACAACGCTGCAGACAAGGGCGTAGCAACTCGAGAGATTGAGACCGTGGTCATCGTAGAGCCAGCTGAGAAGTATGAATACGAGTACTCGTCAAGCTTCGAGTCAACCGACGAGTCTGATAATGATAAAGAACTGAAGTCTACACAGCCTGAGAACAAGCCAAAACTCAAAGGTTCTCAATACAACAAGTACTACACTGGATTTGGCACTCATTACAGGCATCCAACTCACACNTGATTATTACAAAACTCCAAAAGTCCTTGATTACTAATTTTCCTTGAAAGGTCCTTGAATTTGGAAGAAACGTCCTTGAAAATGACAATTTAGTCCTTGAATCAGTCTTGGTTGTTGTAAAGTAATGTTTTAGGGATCAATTTAGACAAGCTTTGGAACAAAATGACAAGAATTCAATCGTTTTGGGATGCTTGTTTTTAGTTTTGTCGAATATGGTGGATCCTACCTTGTTTTTGTGCACATGTTAACATGCGAAAAATGAGTATTACACTTTAGGTAGCGAAGTTCTTGAAAATTGAATGTTAATCCTTAAAAAGTCCTTGAAAAATCCTTGGATTCTTTATGAAAAAATCTGTATCCCAATTGAGAGACACTAGTATTGACAAAATAGCGGCTTGTGAAATTGTAAACACGAGTTTCTTCTAAGCATCAAAGTACAAGCTCGTGGCAAGTGCTTTAAAATAACAAACATGAAAATATATATATATTTATATTTTAGGGTGGTCCACGAAAATTGGTCCATGGACCAGTCCATGGACAGGTCCACGATGGCGGTCCATGGACCCCCGGTCCATGTTTTGTACCGACCCTCCCTTGTCACTATATATATACATGGAGGGGAAATTTTTTTAAACCCATCTATAATGCATTGYGACACTGAATRAAATRAAAGTAGACCATTTTTTTAAGTAAAATTTTATTTTTAACCATTATAGGTTCAAAGTCACTGCTTGGGCTCCCTGTGGTTTTACTTACGCACATCGACGCCCAGTCGAGAGTTTTTTCGAGCAAATCTTCCAACAAAAAACAAGTTTTTAAAAGGATTCAATATGAATGGAAGTCACGTCTCTGAAAGAACTGTAAGTAGAACTTTGAAAAGCTAGTTATTTTCAAGTCGTTGGAGTTTTCAATGCAGTTAAGCACGCTTAAGCTTACTTGATTTTTCGGGAATAATTTCTTGGCGCCTTTTCAGAGAAGACTAAAAACTTTCAAAAGCCAAAACATCGTTGTAGCGTAAGTGACTCAGTGTTTTATAATAAACTTTCAGTTAAAACTGTTTTCTTGTCGTTGTTTTGCATTGTGTGCACTACCTGACATGAATTGAGAAACCAAAGGACTAAAATTCTTAAGTTAAGTAACTTAAGTTAAGTTATTTAAGCTTATCTGAGTTTGAAAAACGTAAGCTTACATTTCAACTTAAAAGTGCTATTTCAACTTTTTCTTTTTTCCTGATAAGCTTACCTATGTTATTACTCTACAAATCATACAGAAATGTTTTGTTCACCGGTTCTTCGAAAGTAGCTAAAAGCGTAAATAGATAGGGTCGGACATTGATGTCAAGTTTATAAACAGAATCGAAGCGAGGATGATTGCTCAAAAAACTTGATCATTTTGTTGTAAAAAATGCAGATGAGTTTGAAACTGAGTTTTACAACTACTCCTTTTGGAGCTATGAAGGTTGAAAAATAAGTTTGTATTAGAAGAGTTTATCGAGAAAAAATTATTCATATTTAAACAAGTTTTTCTTTGTAATCAAAACTTAAGTTAAGATTATTTTAAACAAATCACTTGTGCAGAATCTGTTCTGATATTGCTTTTTAAAACGTTTGCTTTACAAAAATCTCTCACTTGAAGTATGAAAGAAAAAAAGTACTCATTAGACTAGTAGAAATGTAACGAAAGCTATAGATATCAGATACCAGGCAAACACAATATTCTACTTACCGTGTAATTCGACTGGGACTAATCCCTTGTCCCTAAAAAAATAAATTGGTTTGCCTGTTAACAAAGTGAAAGTTGTACACTGGGAACCAATTTCCCTTTTAAGGTCATTTTTCCTTAAAAGGTCATTTTCCTATAAGGTCATTTCCCCTTATAAGGTTCAATTAGAACGTCTCGCGCGCAGCTAACAAAACACGTAACAATGTTTATTCCTTCACTTTGCTAATTGCAGTCCTTAGTGACGGGTTAGCAATCACCGCTTAGCTATTAGTAGCGTTTTACAGCGATTTTTAACCACAACTTATTGAAAACTTTGCGACAAAATGTCAACTAACATCATCTTGAGCGAGAACGCGCCGAAAAGCCAGTCGAATGACGGCGAAATCTCTGGAGGACAAAAGTCTCCCACAAATTCACTGGGAACAGCTATCAGTGAATCATCTGGTGAAGAAGTGGAAATCTTCATCACTGAAGACGTTTCGTCCTCTAACGTCAAACGTGCGCCAAAAACCGCTTCGAGAATCCCAAAGCCACGACGTAACGGAATCCGCCGCAGTTCCGCAAGTCAAACGTCGAGTGATAG